ACACACACACACACACACACACACACACACACACACACACACACACACACACTTTCTTAAGCAAATTCACAAGGCTCTAACCACTCTCTACAAACGCCAGAATATGCTGGAGAGATGGCTCAGTGGTTAAGAGAACTGACTGCTCTTCCAAGGTCCTGAGTTTAATTCCCAGCAACCACATGGTGGCTCACAACCATCTGTAATGGAACCTGATTCCTTCTTCTGGTGTGTGTGAAAACAGAGCATTTGTATACATAAATATATATAAATATAAATATATACATATATATATATATTTTTTAAAATACCAGAATATATAAGTACCTTGCCTTGGCTTTTGAGCAGCTTTAAAACTAAAAAGCAGTTCATCTCCTAGACTACCCAAGTTGTGTGTCCTCGTTTCTAAATACAACATAAGTTTATAATTAAGCAGAACAGAATTAAAAGTTAAGAAGAAACTCAAAAATATACTGACCAATTTTTCCAAAAGGATCATCCTTGAAAGGATCACCTGTGACAAAGAAAAAGAGAAAAATAAAATACTATTATTTATTGTTGTGGAAAAGGGTATTTCTAAAGAAAAAGCAAAGCTAAGTTAAACAATAACTTAATTACGTCAACCTCAATTAAGTCAATTAAGTCTACCTCAAAGTAAATAAAATTATGTTATCACCTTAGGAAAGTTTTACAACAATAAAAAGCAAATGCTGAACTCAACACAAGTCATAAACAGGCAAATTAGAACCATGACGTCTGAATAAGAAGTGTCCTCTGCAGTCTCTGGCCTTTCAACACCTGCTTCCCAGTTGGTGTCGCTCTTGGCGAGGTGTAGGAGGTTGGGCTTTGTGGAAGTGTGCCACGGAGGTAGGCTTTGAGAGCTCAAAGACTGTGCTTTTAAGTTTGTTCTCTGCTTCCTGTTCTGCTGCCATGTTGACCCTGCCATTACAGCCTCTAACCCTCTGGAACAGTAAGCCCAAATAAACTCTTTCTACATAAGTTGATTTGGTCATGGTTTTTTTTTCCCCAGCAACAGAAGAGTAACTAATTTAAGAATCAAATTTACTTAGCCTTGATTGAAAGCAGTTACAGGGAAAGACACAACAATAAAATTTTACCAACAAAATACCGTCTCCTCACAAGGCTATTGGTTAGACAGTACCATCAGTACTTCATGAAATAAAGAAGACTTGACTAAGGCAACAATAACAAAACAAAAACAAAAAGCCCTCACAGACTAAAGAAGCCAGAGGCAAACCCTCACATTATGGCCACTTGAATTTTGACAAGAGTATCAAGAACACATGACAAGTAAAGGGTGAAAGAACAGTCTTTTCAACAAATGGTCCTGGGGCTGGGGCTGTAGTCAGATTGGCTGAGTGCTTTTCTGGGCAGCACAAAGCCCTGAGCTCCAGCCCCAGAACTCCGTATGTCTGATGTGATGGCGTATATCACAATCCCAGCATTCGGACGTGGAGGCACAAGGATCAGGAATTCAAGGTTAGCCTTGGCTATATAGTGAGTCTGAGGTCAGCCTAGACTACAGAACAACACCCTTTCTCAAAAAAAAAGTATTTGGATGACAAGACAGAGCTGTACCTCATACCAGATAGAGAAGTTAACTAAACCGAAGCTCTAAAGCGCTACAATGTTAAGTGCTCTCTCTGTCTGTGTGTGTCTGTGTGTCTGTGTGCATGTGTGCAGGTGGCCACAGAGGCGAGAGGGCATCAGACCTCTGGAGTTACAGGCAGTTTGAACTGCCTGATGTTGGCTCTAGGCACTAAATCCAGGTCCTCTGGTAGAGCACCAAATGTTCTTAACCACTGAGATGTCTCTCTGGCCCAAGTGCCCTATATTTAACAGGTAAAACTACAAAGTTCTTGAAAGAAAAGCAGGGGTATAAATGCTCATGCCTCTAATCAACACTCAGGAGGATGAGGCAAGAAGAAGACTGCCAGTAGTTTGAAGCAGCCTGGGCTCTAGATTGAGAACTTGTCTCAAAATAACTTAATACATACACACACTGTTCATGAAGTATTTTCAAATCACGTCAAAGAGTTTTACTTGGAACATGTAAGAAGCCCTAACAAGTAAACAATACAAAGACAAACAGGACTGGAGCGAATGCTCAGCATTTAAAAGTGTACACTGCTCTTGCCAAGGAGCAATTCCTAGCACCTAAGCCTGCAACTCCAGCTCCTGCCTCTGTACTCATGTTCATGCCTTTGTACTCATGTTCACATACCCACACACACAATTAGAAATGAATGAATGAATGAATGAATGAATGAATGAATGAATGAATGAATGAGAAAAAATGATGTGTTGCTCAACACTGACATACATGTTTTTGCAGCCTGGTCTACAGAGTGAGTTCCAGAACAGCCTAGGCAGCACAGAGAAGCCCTGTCTCGAAAAACAAAGAAAACAAAACAAAAAACCCAAACAAGGCAAAAGACATCCATGTTTTTGCAGGGGTATGCATCTCTTTTTCCTGGGTGCATATTAAGTCATGTAGTAACACTGCTTAATTGCCGGTCTAGAAACCCCAGCCTGTTTTCCACAGACAGAGAACCATTTCATATCCCACTAGTGTAATTTGTCACCTGCTCTTTGATTACGGCCATCCTAGCAGGCATGACGTGGAATCTCATTGGGGATCTGACTAAAGTTGCAAATCTTTCTTTATGCTACTGGTTGTTTGCATATGTGTTTTGAAGAAATAGCTGTTTAAATGATTATGCCCATTTTAAAATTAGGCTGGGCTGAGGTGGGGAAAAGCACCAAGGTGTCCCAACATTAGACTGTGATAATGACTATTAAACTGTGCATGTTCTGAATCTATGACTGACTGACTAGGCTATAGTTTAAGGATCAAACAAAGCATTAAGCCTGCTAGCCAAGCACTCTACAGCTGAGCACAATCTCAGCCCTAGAGATTTTAAGTGTAAAACTTACATTTACCTTTTGGTGCTTGTTTATTTTACTTACATTTACCTTTTGGTGCTTGTTTATTTTACTTACATTTACCTAATTTTGTGCTTGTTTATTTTAAAGGTTCTAATATTTGGGCTCATCTCTGCCATGACTATGGGGTCAGTTATTCTGTCCGTGTGCCTTGGCTTGACATCTTTTGTTTGTATGGACTCTCTTTACCTTTTTTTTAGGTACATAACTGTTTTGCACCATGTGCAAGTCTGGTCCTGTGGAACAGAAGATGCTCTAGACCTGGAGCCACAATACGGATGAATGCGAGCTGCCCTGTGGTGCTGGACACTGAACTCAGGTCCTCTGCAAGGGCAGCAAGTACTCTTAATTGCTGAGCCATCTCTTCAGGCCCTTGTGTAAGACCAGGTGACGCTATGCAGCCCTGGCTGACACTAGCTATGTGGACCTGACTGGCCTCAAGCCCACAGGGTCTTCCCGCCTCTCTCACCAAGCGAGGGGATTACACCAGGCTCAGCTTCACAGGAGAGTTCTCGGAATAAAATACGATCAAAAGAACTTGACAGCAGGAATATTTAACACAGTTCACACAGATGATAGACTTTTAGTCAGAGTTATGTTTCTTTTCTTTTTTTCCACTTTTTGGAAGATAGGGTTTCTCTGTGTAGCCCTGGCTGTCCTGGAACTCACTCTGTGGACCAAGCTGGCCTCGAACTCACAGAGATCCGCCTGCCTCTCCCTCCCAAGTGCTGGGATTAAAGGTGTGCACCACTGTGCCTGGCCAGAATTATGCTTCTAAAATTAGAAATATCTTAAGGTAACGGATTCTGGCATCTACTACTACAGTTTCCGTTATTATATTAGTTTAGTTTTGCTTTTGTGATAATAGTCTCACTATGTAGCCTAGGCTAAGTAAACCAGGCTGGCTTTAAACTCAAGAGATCTATCTACCTCTGCCTTTTGGGTATTAGGACTAAAGGTTTATGTCACCGTGCTGGAAATGATTCAAAATTAGTGTTGTTGTTGTTTTTTATTCTTTTCTCTCCCCCTCCCTCCCTTCCATCCCCCACATAAGCTTTCCTGAGGCAGTTTTGTTTTGTAGCTCAGGCTAAACTCATATTTGCAAACTGTTGGATTATAGCAGTGGGACTCCATGCCTGGCCAGGTGCTGGCACCTTCGTGATTTTGGGCTAAATAACGACAATTTATGAATGTGGACTACATCTTCCCTTTGGCGTCTCCTCTGAAGAAACTTTCCATCAGAGAACCTGATGGTATAATATTAAGCTTAACCGGTAGCAAATGTAAGAAGAAACCCCTTATTCTCAGCTTTCCTTAGTTGCAAAAAAATACTCTCAAAAATGAAGCCTCAACACTTATATAATTTACATATCACAAAGTGGTCTTTTGGATACACTTACAAAAAAAAAGTTACTTACTGCCAACAAAAGGATCAGACTGGAAAAAGTCCAAGTTTGTATCTGCAACTGGATCTGTCAGTGAACTGGATTCTACATTAAATGGATCTTCCTAGAAATAATTTTAATTAAAACAGATTATTTTAGTAACTGAAAGTTTAAAAGATAATACTTCAAATGACCCACATTCAAATCACATACATACTTTGAAAAATTAGTAAATATTTTTGCAGCTACAAAGAACAAGTCAGAATGAGTGACAGGAACAGTTGAATGTATAATTGTCTTCACCTCTTTTGAATGCTTGTCATCCTCAAGTCTGGGACTAACTTTCTCATTACCAGCCGCAGTCACAACTTCGTTTTCATCAGTCACATCAGAAGGTGCTATTTCAGGACTACTCCTCACCTACCAAAAGCACATATGTGAATATGAATGATAAAAATCTTTTGTCTCAGGCTGGTGAGATGGCTCAGTGGGTAAAAGCATTTGCTGCTAAGCCTAATGACCTGAGTTTAATCTCCAGGACCCACTTAGAGGAAGAGAAAAACTCCTGCAAGTTTTCTTCTGACTTTCACAGGAATACTGTAACATGCCAATACCCACCCACCCACAAATGTAATAAAGATATTTTGGGTAAGATTATTTTAACAACTTTTTTGAGAGACAGGGTCTTACTGTGTAGTTCTGGCTGCCCTGGCACTTACTATGTAAACCAGGCTGGTCTCAAACTCAGAGGTTCACCTGCCTCTGCATCCTGGGTGCTGGGATTTAAAGGTCTGTATCACCACAGCTGGCTAGAACATTTTTTAAATTCTGTGTGTGTGTGTGTGTGTGTGTGTGTGTGTGTGTGTGTGTGTGTGTTTTAAAATTGATTTTGGTATTGGGAATCAAATCCTGGGCCTCTTGCAAACCATTCGCCACTATGCTCTATCACTAGCTATTTTTTATATGCAACACTAAGTGGTCAGCTCTGAACTCATACACATACAAATAACATTAATGAAGTAAACAGGTTGTATTTATACATTTAGGAATCTCTTTCTGTGTGTATATAAAACAATAAAAGAAAAAGAGGCCATGAATTTCTGAAAAAAGAGGGATATGTGGAAAAGGTTAGGAAAGGAAAGGAGTAAAGTGTGTAATTAGAATTTAATTTCAAAAAACAAAATATTATTAAACGTAAAAAAAAACAAAGTAAACTAAAAAATGTTGTTACCTAAGCCAGCTCTTTATGCTATCTCTGAAGTTCAGTCTAGAGCTGAAGCAAGATCGTTTGGGCAGAGGGGATTTTGAGGCTAACTTGGGCAACACAGTGAGCCCCTGCCTCCAAATGTTATTATCTAAAGAAGTGCTTCTGTTGTTTTGAGACATAATCACACTATACAGCCAAGATAGCTTAGAACTCACAGTGTCCTCAGCTCCCGAAGCTGGGACTAAAAGCGTATGCTAGGACTGCAGACAGCTCAGTGGGTGAGGACACTGACAACCTGAGCTCAATCCCTGGTCACAAGGCAAAAGAAGAGAACTGACTTCCACATGTTTTCTTCTGACTTCCACATGGACATCCTGACATGTATGTGCACACAGAACAAAAAGACAAAAATTTAACTGTGCACGCCACTATGCCTGCCAGAAATACTGACTTTTACATGTGCTCTATGAAAAGTCAACTATAATCCAGGTGTGGTGCCACACTCAGGGGGAGAGGGAGGCAGGTGGACCGAGGGCACGAAGCCAGGGCCGAGAAGATGGCTCCCTGGGTGAAACACGCGGTGCACTAGCATAAAGAGCTAACTGAGCGCAGTTTGGAGCACAGGAGGAAAAGCTAGGCGTGGTGGGGTATAACGGAGACCCCAAGGCTGGGGAGGCAAAGACAGGCAGATATTCCAGGTCAAGCCAAGACAGCAACCTCTATTTTCAGTAAGGAGATTCTGTCTCAAAAAAATAAGAGAGTTGAACTCTGGCCTCTGTCTACACTTGCATACATGGATTAGTGCAACCACGCATGGGCACACTAGTGAGCGCCTCACTCATCCCACCCACAGACACATTCCGTTAACGAAGAGCTTAACGACATCCTTAGCTATATATTAAGTTTGAGGCCAGCCTGAGCTACACAAGACCCTATTTATTTAAAAAAATTATTAATTAGATTACATTTGTACAGTAGTTACAACTGAAAAGAAAGAATTTCAGTTGTTGAGGCTGAAGGCTGGCTCAGTGGTTAAGAACATTAACTGTTCTTCCAGAGGACCCCAATCTGATCGCCAGCACCCACACCAGGTAGCTTAAACTGTCTGTTAACTCCAGCTCCAAAGGATCTGATACCCTCTTCTGGCTTCTGTAGGTACTAGACACACATAAATAAGGTTAAAATACACCTTAAAAACGTTTTTTCTTTATATTATACACATGCTAACAAAACTTTGTTGTGGGACTCGGGAGACAGCCTATTTGATAAAGTGCTTGCTGCTCAAGGACATGAGTTTAGACCCCCGGCAATCATGTAGAGTCAATTCCGGGACAGCGGAGGTGTAGACAGACAGGTTTCTGGGGCTTGCTGGCCAGCCAGCCTAGTCAGATTGCTGAGCCCTAGAGCTCAGTGAGAGCCACTGTGTCCAAGAAAAAAAGTAGACAGCAACTGAGGAGTCACACCTGAAGTACAAGTACCCGCATACCAACATGGATCTTCATCAGTCTGTGTGTGTGAGGGAGAACGAGGGCAATCATGACATAGACTCACTGGTGACTCCTGCTGTATGGGCTCAGACTCCAGGTTGTTCTGGCCTTCCGCTTGTTCATTGAGGTTGGCTGTCTCACTGCTGCTGGTGCTGAGGCTACAATAATCTGCAGCACCGTTTACAATAATGCTTTGTGGGCTACTGCACCAATTTGACTGGTTATTATGATTTTCCAGATCTTTCATTTCCATCAGTCTCATTTGCATCTGCCAATACAAAGCAGAAATACAAAACAATTTAATACTACAAATATATGTAACATACAAACAGCTATGCCCCTAGACTCACTCAAGGATAAATTTGCTTTCTATTAGGAGGATCCTCTGGAAATGCAGCATGACTTAAAGATTTCAAAAATCTCTTCCTTGGACTCCTCCTGCCAATTTCAGCATGCATACATTTGGTTTTGTAAGTCTTGTGAGATCTCCAAGAATTCTGTCTCAGGTATCTGAGAACTGGCAGTCTTTCAGGGTATAATTAGAAAAAGAAAGACCCAGGATACCAGAGGAAAACAGAGCCAAGTAACAGAGAAGGAGATTCAGCAATGAAGCTATAGTGGAGCTACAGGAAATTAAAATATACTTTAGTTTACTTTACAACATACTACATAGTATAGAATAATACACACATATATCCAACAGTATATATAGCTGATTCTAACTTTGTATACTATATTGCATAATGTATACACATACATGTAGTATATACTACATATATAATATATAGCATACTATATGTATATGTGTGTGTACATATATATATTATTCTGTCTAGTATACAAAGTTTTCGAATCAGCCATATTCCTGTTGGGGAAGGGAGTGAAAATAAACTTTAAGACCAGCTAATGTTTTATGCTCTGGTGCTATTTGTTAATGGGAAAGAGGAGCCCTAGAAAGTAACCTCTAAAAAATGTAATTCACACAAAGTCCAATAAACAAAGATAAAGCTGTTTTGGCCTCAACTATTCAAATGAACTCAACAATAATGCACAAAAGGCAGAATTCAATAAGTTATAATATATTAAATAATAATAAAATCAGAAACAAGGAAACTAAATGATTTTAATGAGCAATATTGATCTAAACATTAGAATTCCAAGAAAAGACAATAGGTTGTATTGTTCTTAGTTAGGTTATCACTACTGTGATGGAACACTATGACCAAAGCAACTGGGGAGGAAAAGGGTTACTTGGCTTACACTTGCACAGCTGAAGGAAGTCAGGATGGGAGCACAAACAGGAGGCAGGCACAGATGCAGAGGCCGTGCAAGGATACTGCCCACTGGCTTGCTCCCCATGGCTTTCTCAGCCTGCTTCCTGATAGAACCCAGAACCACCACCCAGGGATGGCCCCACCCACAATAGTTGGGCCTTCCCCATCAATCACTAAAAAACTGCCTTACAGGCTTATCCCTTCTCACAGAAGCATGTTCTCAACGGAGGCTTCCCCTCCGCAGTGACTCTAGCTGTGTCAAGCTAATATTAGCCAGCCAACGCAGGCTATTGTTTATAAAAATAGACAGTATTTACTATGAATTTATGTATCAGACACCAGGCTAAACTACCTCATGTTTTGACTCATTTAATCCTTATAACAGTCCTAATAGGTAGGCGTGTTAAATCTTCAACTTTAAGATGAAAAAATCTGATACTCAGAGGTGATTCACCTAATAAATGGCAGAGCCAGCATTTAAACCTACCCTTAACTAAAAAGTTGCTACTCTAATCTGCTATGCAAAAGAACAGCAGGCAACTGTAAGGATTAAACAACTGAAGACACAAGCTAGCAGATAGAGAGGGAGCAGGTGTGAGAAGGTACAAAGGGACAAAGCCACCTGGGCCTGCTGCCCCACTTACTGAACTGACTTCCTGCTGGGACTCCAGGAGGTGTTGCTGAAGAGGTTCCAGCTGAGCCTTTCCTGACTCCACACTTTCTTCCAGTTGTGCTGTTTCTTGTTGGAGGCGACTCAGCTCTTCCCTAGCTTTCCACAGCTCTTCCTCGTAAGTGGAGATCTGAGACTCTTGATTAGTTATTTCGGCTTTCAGGGATGAGATCTGTAAATGGAGATGAGTGAGGGGGGAGGGAATTAAACGAAGGGAGTTTAGGGGAACTTTCGGTGTATTTTGGTAGTGGAAGATAGTGGGGATGGGACTAAGAAACTGGGCGGCAAAGAAAACATTTGTGCAATCAAGATTTAAAAAATATCACCCTTTTAATTTCTACTACAGAGAACCGTAATCCTCATGAACACCCCAACTCCTTCATGAAGCAGCTGCTGCCAAGACTGCCGCTAACAGTTAGGGGATGTCCTCTTTTTAAGCCCGGAACAAGGTGGAGGGAGAGAGCCCCGGAAGCAGCCAGGCTTTACCAGCTGGGCCTCCTCCGCACACTGTCTCCGGACTTCCTTGAGCTGCTCTTCCAGCTGGGCTTTCTGCTGGTCCAGCTCGTCCAGGAGCTCCTGTACCTGCTGCTTCTGGGCCTGCAGTTTCTGCAGGTTACCACTCTCCCTCTGAACTTCATCTTGAAGATCCTGAAACATAGGAAAACCCACACTTTTACTTCTAGGGCACAGGATGGGGAATTGTTAAGTCTACTTTAAGGGAAAGCACAGTCTTGTTTTATTAGATATTTTGTATTAAGGGATGAAAGCACTCAATTTTACAGTCTTCAAGTCACCTCTCCCAGATTGTGATATACGGTTGGCCTACTCAGATGGGTCCTTGGATGTCTGACTGACTTTGCTCTGTCCCCACACCTGCTTTAACCTCCCTCTTCTAGTCCAACCACGAGCCTTCTACCACTTCCTCTTTCCACTTCTCTTTCTCTTACTTTTTGTGTCCACCTGCTTGCTAGCAAACCCCTCTTTAAAAACCCTTGTCAGCCAGGTGTGGTGGCACATACCTTTAGTCCCAGCACTCCAGAGGCTGCGGCAGGCAGACCTCTGTGAGTCTGAGGCTAGTCTAGTATGCTGACACACGATAAAGTCATCTGAGAGGATGGAACCTTAATGAAGACAAGGCCTCCATAATAGCCAGCTGTAGAGCATTTTCTTAATCAGTTATTGATGGGGAGGGCCCAGCCCACTGTGGGTTGAGACCATACCTGGCCTGGTGATCCTGGGTTCTGTGGGAAAGCAAGCCAGTGAGCAGCACCCTCCATGGTCTCTGCATCAGCAACTGCCTCCAGGTTCCTGCCTTGCTCTGAATTCCTGTCCTGACTTCCTCTGATGAACAGTGCTGTGGAAGTGTAGGCCAAATAAACCCTTTGCTCCCCAACCTGCTTTTCAGCCATGGTGTTTCATCACAGCAATGGAAACCCTAAGACACCTGGTCTACGCAGTGACTACCAGGACAACCAGGGAGAGACCCTGCCTCACAAAAACAAAAACAAAACACCACCACCACCATCAAAAATTCCACAAGACCCTGGCTAAACACCAGCATCAAAACCAAAAAAGAACAAGTCCAGCTTATATCAGATTCCCTATGTTCTTACTTGCACGTAATAGTGCAAAATGTGGTCTCATTCGGTAGAGAATGCACTTGTGACCTTGGGTGGGTTAGGGAAGAATGGGGTGAGGGCAGAGGCATAGAGAGCTACACAGGAGTAAACCCTGACGTTCCGTTCTGTAGTGCAGCAGGGCAACTACATTCTCAGCAATCAAGCATTGGAAGTGTCTAGGACCTCCAAAATTACCAACACAAAAAAGGAATGCTGGTCTGAGTGAGTTTTGCCAGCTGCCCTCATTTGGTCAGCGCTGTATGACTGGCTGAACTGTCCTACCGCATCCTTAGATTCCCTGTAAGCACTATGTGTCGGTTCAGAAAACTCTTTTTTTGGGGGGGGAGGGGCTGGGGCGGAATGTGCCTCATGTAGCCCAAGCTGGCTTGAACTCACATACAGCAAGAGATAGCTAGCCTTGAACTTCGAAGTACTGGAACTACAGGTATACCACCACAATTAGAAAAACAGTGTTTTAAAAGCGTAAACAAATCCTTGTGTCAAATCATCTCACATGTCCACTCAAAACCGTTCAGTCTCCATTTCACCGAAACAACAAAGTCCTTAAGCACTTACGTTATCCTGCACGCCAACTCAGGCCAACTGCTCTGTCCTTCGCTCAGTTTCTCTGAGCCACGCCGACTACCATGCCGCTGCCTGAGCAGGCCAGACAGGCAGCCTCTCAACCCTACGGTGTGCTACCACATGCAGAAATTTCTGTAAGAGGAACAGGAGCCCTCTCCACCCCTGTGCTCCAAAATCCTCAAGAGCACTCCAGCTCCTCTCCACAGCCCTACGCATGCACACACCCACACCCTGCCACAGACCAAACCAAAAATGCTTAGGGATTAAAAGAATGGTAAAACAGCTGTCCCCTGGGCTGGAGAGATGGCTCAGTGGTTAAGAGTGCCATCTGCTCTTCCAAAGGACCCAGGTTCAATTCCCAGCACCCACATGGAAACTCACAACTGTCTATAACAGATCTGACACCTTTACCCTAATGCACATAAAATTTAAAAAATTAGTTATTTTTTAAAAAGTTGACTTTATTAGACTGGGCGTGGTCTAATAAAGAATATATTATTAAAAAAAAAAAACAGCTGTCCCCATGTGTCCAATTTCTTTTTCCACAACCCTAACAATAATCTGGAAGCTCATATTCTCTAATCATATCTAGTCTTTATAACCATACACATGTTTTCTTTCACTGTAAATCCAAAAAAGGAAACTATCATTTCCCTAAAAAGGCCATGTGAAAAAGTGTTTAGGACACAGTTCTCACTTTTTAAAGCTGAATAAAAAGACGTGTATAGTATTACCATATATCTAAAACCATTTATATATATCAAACACAGCAAATGGTAGTAAGAATTCACTGATAGAGAAGTTTCCTTAGTTCTCATGCTTTGGTGTACTTTACATTTAACAATTTGTTACATTTCATTATATGTGTGTGTGCTCGCTCACGTGCCTATGCGAGTGTAGGGAAGGGAGCAACTTTTAAGTCAGGTCTTCCCATAACTATGTGCATTCCAGGGATCACATTTAGGCCCTCAGGTTTTACCTGATGAGCAGTTTTGCTGGCCCTGTATTTTACAAATTTCCTGTGACGTGTGCATAGATGTCACGTGTGTGCCTGGTGCTGAGTGAAGCTAGAAAAGGCCATCAGGTTCCCTGGACCTGGAGTTACAGGTGGTTGTGAGCCACCATGTGGTTGCTGAGAACTGAACTGAACTTGGGTTCTTCTGGAAGAGCAACCAGTTCTCTCTCTCTCTCTTAAAGATTTATTTATTATGTATACAATATTGTCTGCATGTATACCTGCACGCCAGAAGAGGGCACCAGATCTCACTGTATATGGTTATGAGCCACCAGGTGGTACTGGGAATTGAACTCAGAACCTTTGGAAGAGCAGCCAGTGCTCTTAACCTCTGAGCCATCTCTCCAGCTCAGCCCCCTTTTAAAAATGAAAGTATCACATCTCTGGAGAAACCCCAACACACTCTTCACTAGCACCAGGTATGCACATGGTCCACAGACATATATTCAGGCAAACATCATAAACTTGAGAAAGAAACCTTTCAAAAGAAAAGCTAAAAATAAAATATTAAAAAAGACTTCCAATGCAAATCCACAGCAAAGGATCTTTGTTTCAGTGAGCAGATTTAAAATTAAATCAAAATGAAAAGTTGCAACATATATACCATTATGAGTAAGAAAGAACTTCTACCACAAACCCACTTACTCGGCTACCCTCTTCATGGCAGCTTCTGTATTTGTACCTACATCCAGGTCTACTTGGCTATTTTATTCTGGCACCAATCTGCCCATCTTGGAAGTAGACAAAGACATAAAGGCACCAGCATTCTGCACCCTGGGTCACCCCAGCTCGGGCAGGGGAGGTTCTAGGACTTGGATAATGCAGTGGGTTCCGCTTCCTCTACTGCTCTCCTGGTGCTATGACTGCAGAGGGAAGAGGGGTGGGTGGCAGCAATGAGAGCAGCCAGAACAAGCTCACAAGAATGGTGTGATGTGTTACCAACTTACTTTAGAACACCACAGCCAGCCTCATCTAAGACCCCTCCCTCAGGATAAAAGGTTACCCGAATTGGGAATCTTGGCTTCATTAAGAATGAAATTTCAGGGCTAGAGAGATGGCTCAGTGGTTAAGAGCACTGGGGGTTCTTTCAGAAGTTCTGAGTTCAATTCCCAGCACCCACATGGTGGCTCACAATCATCTATACTGGGATCTGATGCCCTCTTCTGGCATCTAGGTGATCTACAGATTAGAGCACTCATATATATAAAATAAATAATTCTTTAGGGAAGGAAGGAAAGAAGGAAGGAAATAAAGACAGACAGACAAACATTTCAGCCAGGTGTGGTGACACGTGCATGTAGTCCCAGCACTTGGGGAGGCAGAGGCAGGCAGATCTCTGTGAGTTTGAGGACAGCCTGGTCTACAAAGGGAGCCAAGGACAGCCAGGGCTACACAGAGAAACCCTGTCCAGAAAAACAAAACAAACAAACAAAAGTTTCAAGAAAATGTCCTGTTTTCTAGAAACTACTCAAGATACTGAAACTGACAAACTCACCCACAACCCCACCACATGTCCTGAGGAGCTATACAAAAATAAAATTTAAACACAAAAATCTTAACACATAGTTACTAAAATAACGCATCTTGGTGACCTGAGTCTGAGGTACTACTGAAGAAGTAGTTTAACAATTAAACCTACAAAATATTAGCAACATGCAGATGCCCACTGTGCTCCTAACCATTCCTGCCAGTGGGTTCTGAGTGCTTTCTGTGCTATATTTAATTTCATGCATAAGTTCAGAGTTTATTTTTAAGTGGACAGCTTCCTTAAATAGCTAACAATGTATTTCCAAATATAGTGGAAGACATATGATCCAAAGCAGAATTTCTAAGCTCAAGAAACTCCTAATAGAAAATGGAAGACTGGAATGTGTGTGTATTATACTTGTATATTTGACACTATATTTATTTGTATGTTTGTGGTATTCGTACACAGGCTGTGTGCGCTTTCTTGTGTCATGCAGATTTGCAGAGGTAAGAGCTGGATTCAGGTGTCTAGCTAGATCACTCTGCATGTTGACCCTTTGACCCAGGGTCTCTCTCAGCCTAGAGTTAGACTGGTGACCAGCAAACCACAGTGATCCCATCACCACTCTCTACTCTGCTGGGGTTCTCAGTGCGCGCAGTAATGCCAGGCTTTTCAGGAGGTCCTGGGAATTCTAGCGTGGGTCTTCATGCTTATACAGCAAGCACTGTACCCACTGAGATGTCTCCTCAGCAGGGGTGTGTACATGTGTTCATGTCAGTAAGGCAAAAGAAAAGTACTGAAAGAAATAGGAAGTCCAAACTTGAAGCTATTTTTCCCCCCAACAAGGCTTATTTTAGATAGCCTGACTTTCAAATAATAAGCACTAAAATGGCGACCTGGAAATATACAACTGGCATTCAGGGAGCAGATATGGCGAACAGTCATGAGTATCAGCGTAACTGGGAGCAGGGAGAAGAAAAGAAAAAAAGTATTTCAAGATGTGCGCTCACAGACCACACAAGAAGGAAAAACTTAGAAAAATCAATATTCTACTTTAAAGTAGACAGCACGTATAAATATGAAACCAAAATCTTGGTTGGAATGCAGCTCAGTGAGGGAACACGTGTCTAATACGCACAAGGCTTTGAGGTCAATCCGCAGCACCAAAACAAAAACAAGACTAACCCAAAAGTTCCAGGGGGAGTTAGCAAGCTAGCTTAGCAGTTAAGAGCACTTACTGATCTTGCATGGGACCTCGGCTCATTTCCTAGCACCCGCATGGCAGCTCACAACTGCCTATAACTGGTTACAGGAACCAGACACCCCACCCCAAGCCCCACAGACACGGTGCACATATGTATGTGCAGACAGAACACATAAAATAAGATAAATAAAATCTAAGGCTCTTGGCTTTTAATTTTATGCTTGAGCTATGAATCTGTATAATCCTCTTTATGAGCTAGAGAAACAACACTCACAGAGACAACAGAGGATACTCAACAACAGGCTGATCTTCCACTTCTTTTCTAGCACCTACATTAGAAAGTGGAGTCAGAAAACAGAGCCAAGAGTATTTCCTTAGAGTCTGCAGGTTACAACAGCGCTAGGAAATGGCTGCTTACCAGAACAACTAGAAAAGTAGCATTGAAAGCAGGCCGCGGTTTGGAGATGGAAGCAAGGGAATCAGGAGGTCTGGGTCACCCTCAACTACAGTGAGCTCAGTGTAGGCCTAGATCCACTGTGTAATTCAAATGCTGGTTTCTGTATCCCCATATCTGGTTGCAATCCTAGTTCTGAGACTCTCCTGTCTCAATGTTGTATAAATACTACCCCCAACTGTCCTGATATGAAATTAAACAGCTTACAGCCAATCACTGAGCAGGGGAGAGAACACGACTTCCTGCCAGCCAGGGGAGGAGGAAGTGGGGGATTCAGGCTCAGGAGATGGCCAGGTGACATCAAGAAAGGAGCTGGGGCAGCAAAGCTATAAAGTGCGGGTATCCCTGGGATGTATGCTGGGAGGAGACCAGATTATCTTAGAGCATTAAGAATAGAGTAAAACTGCTTGGTTCTTGTGCTGTGACTCTTATTTAAAAAATATAATAGAGTCTCAATTATTTGGTGATAGCCGGGTTAAGAAAAAAACTGACAAGTCAGAGAGCAGAGATCAGCAGGGAGGACTTGGAACCAGGAGGAAAGATGAACCAGACCTAATATATGACTAAAAGCAAGTATAATGTTGGAAATTCTGAATGGTAGGAAACTATGCATGCTTAGAGGTTTAGGATGGAGTAATCATTGCCCAGCATTGTGCTCTAGATTAATTAAATAAATCCTAGTCTTTGTGTGGTGATTTGGGTATACAGCTCTTTTAGGAATAACCACTGTTAAACTAAAACTTAATCAATAATAAATATTAATAACCTAAAAAAAGAGAAAAACTGACAAACACAGTTTTATAAAAATAACATTAACAGTTCAATGCCAGCCTGAGTTACATAAAACCCTGTTTCAAAAAAGAAAAAGAAAAGAAAGTACTGAAAGTTGAAATTACAGATTTTAACTAGCAGTGTTACTCCCAGTCTGTACCTTGTTACTAAAGGGTAAATCAGAGCTAATTCAGTTGGCAATAAATTCCATTTGTTACCAAATTTGCTAAGTCTTTTTATGTTTCAGAAAACAGAAAACGTTTTCTAAGCACAAAAAAATGATCACAATTGAGGTATTTCAGTTGCATGTATATTTATACATATATGTGTAAATTTATATATACATATATTTATAAATTATCATCATTCTTGGTCTAGCATCTCATTACCATTGATAATACAGAGATGAGTCTACTAACCCAGAATGTTCATTAATCTCAGTGTTACTTTTCAGTGAATTTATTTTCAGCCATCAGTGCTTGTTGTACAGTAAGCAAGTTCAGAAATGCCTCCTACTTAGAAGTACCCTATGCAAAACCAATTTAGATCTCAAGTGCCAATAAAACATTTTGGATCTCACAAAACTTAGTGTCCTTTAAGCGAGATGAGCAAGAACATTATGGAGAAATCTTAACGATATACCTTCTATAATTGTAAGAAACTGAATGTTTGAGGATATTCAAGGAACAATATAAATTTTAGTTCTGTACTAAACTGGCTACTGAAATCTCCATCTAGTTTGTTTTTCCCTACAAATGTACTCATGTAACAAAATATCATCTACAACAAGAACCTGTATATTTTAGAGTAGCAGCCGGTTAAATCTAGATGTTGTCTACGATTATACCAGTGACTATACATACTTCAGATTAAAAAAAAAAAAAACTTTTGTAGATTTTTATCCTCTGTTTCCATATTGTGTCCAGTAATAACTATCGAAATTAAATTTTAGTGTCTGCATTTCTCAAGATGCTTAAAATTATACAGAACAACACAATTCAAACAGTTTACTTGCCCACTCCCAGTTTCATTAGCAGAAAGAGAAATGTTGGTTATAACTCTCTTGACTTTCACAGCACTTTTAGAAAAATTCCAATAAATATAATAAATGCAGTCATATAATCAGAGTCAACTACCAAATACAAGCCTCTCTGGCTTCCTTGAGCCTTCAGTGAATCATCTTCCCCACCCTAGCATGGTTCTCCTCTAGCAAAACGAAAGGCTGGATCTAACCAATTTCAGTTCTCCCCATTTCAAACCATGAGCACAAGAAGGAAAACCTAACACATACGTGACACATTAGGAAATGCTCATCCAGGAGCGCCTACTGGCAGCTGCTCCCAGTGCCCACACATCTAACCTCCTAAACAGCATTCAGAAAACATACCCCAGTAACATGGCCACAGGAAACACTGCTCAACACTGTTTTTAATGTTTAAAACACTGTGCCACATTCCTCATATAGAAATAGGTTTATTATCTTCTCTGTTAATAAAGTTACTAATACAACACAGAAAAAAATGGATTAAATCCCTTTATGACAAAGTTTCAGACATTTTGGCTACAAAGCAGTTTGTAAGATGTTATTTTAAATCATTCTCTATCATTTCCCCCCCTCCCAGTGACATGCAAAACAGTCTTTGAAAACAGTAGGTCTCCCAGCTGACAAAAACCTTACATGCATGAAAAAAAATTTGGTTTTTGATGATGATCCAATTTAATTTTATTGGAGTAAGTAGTAATATTTAAAAAGTCATCTGATGTTATATTTAATGAATAGTATGCAGGTAAAGATCATTAAAATATTTTCAAATCTAGAAATATGTGCTTAAAAATACTGCTTTATCACTGCAGCATGATCTTTAAAGGCCAGAATTCAGAGCAACAACCATCATTTTAAAAAAGAGATACTCTGTCAAGCAAATCTTAGGTATTCCCTAGACCTAATATCATGTCCATCAAATAGTAAATACATTTGCCGTGAACATTCCTTCATCAGAATAGAGCAGTGCACTGACAGCCCACTTACCTGGACCTCACTTGTCCTCTGCTTAACCGTGTCTTCCTTCTCTTTAAGGTCCTGTTCCACATTGTTCTTTTCCCTAGAAGACCAGCAAACAATGCAAGAGTATCTGAGAACATCAGCTACAGCTGGTATGGCTATCCATCCTCCTAATCCTGAATCGCTTTTTAAATACATGTTGAAACATTCAATTTTTAAATGAAGGGCAGAATCTTCTACCCTCTTTAAATTATTTATGAAATAAAAATCAATATAAGCTGTTTGTAAAAAAAAAATAATAATAAATTGCCTCCTCACTAAAATGTGTTGAAAAAAAGGATAGATTAAGAAAGGAAGAAGCAAAAACTAATCAATGGACCGCTCAGGTTTCACTGATCTCACTGTTGCTATGGTGATATGGTCCAATGAAAACTGCGGGTGAAGGAAAGGAGGAGTTGCATCAGCTCTCTAAGTTTAACCCTTCACTATCACTGTCCTATTAAATAAGAACGGCTGATAGAAACAGTCACATAGGTGTTAATCTACCTTAACTCATCAGTGTACATCAATTTTAGATGCAACAACATAGAAAAATGTAAAAGACTGTTAATATACAGGTAGCATGTTGTCTGAAGTATCAGGTCTACTCCAAAAAGGTTCCTTGGAACTACCTATGAAAGCCAATAGGTAAGTATACAAATTGTGTACATTATGTTTAAGAACAGTCCAGAAGAGTGTTGTATCTTCCCCTCCAACCAAACACATATGGCTCTCCCTTGAAATAGCCTCCCAAATTCCTATGTTCCTCAACAGAGCTGGAGCCATAACGAATGAATTTCAGAAAAACTTAAGATTTAAATTACGGGCCTGGAGAGATGGCTCAGAGGTTAAGAGCACTGGCTGTTCTTCCAAAGGTCTTGAGTTCAATTCCCAGCAACCATGTGGTGGCTCATTAACCATCTATAATGAGGTCTGGTGCCCTCTTCTGGTGTGCACGCATACATGTAGGCAGAGTATGGTATAAACAATAAAAATAAATACTCTTTAAAAAAAAGATTTAAATTACAAAATAAAGCGCTACACGGGGGAGGGGAGAAGGCAATATGGAGAGAGAAGACAGCATTAAGATCAAGAAATCTCCTAGGCTAGTATGGCCGTTCACCTTACAGGGTCATGACCATGTCAGATAACTAACACAACTCCGTATCTAACAGAACCCAAACGTAAGCTCAAGTGCCATTAGCTGTATTATAAAGGAGAGTGAGAAAACTATACCAAATAGGTAAGGCAGAAACTACATGCTTATCTGTATGTCTCATCTTATTAAAGCGAGACTTTGAAATTCGCAGCATGAAACCAGCTGTTTTGGATATGTAGGTACAATGATCTCAAGGTTTGTATGAGAAAAAAAGACATGAGAATAAAGCTTTTTGTACACTGTACTTTTAAACACCTGAGATGGCCAAGGAACTCAACTAACCATTTGTCAGGTGGGTTGCAATGTGGGTTGCAATGTCGTAGAGATTTTAAACAGTCCCTTACCATTCCAATCATTGTTCTAGCCTTCTTCCCACCCCCGATACACTGTGCAGAAGACAGCCCCCCACCTCCAGCTCTTATCAAATTAGATGAAATTGGAAAATAGAAAAATCACAAGAGGAAAAAATCTGGAAATACACCACGAACTCTGCTAGCTAAATCTTAGAAATGTTTTCCTTTTCCTCCTTATGTGAGCAGATGAGTGTTTTCAGTCCTGCTGCAGTATGTCAGAACGAAAATCCAGCGCCCTTCCAACCTGCACCCCAGCTCCATGCCCCAAATTCTCAGAGACATTCCACACAAGGTCAGCGCCACTTCAGCTCGGTCTGAGACAGTAGATAACAGAAGCAGAAAGCACGCTACTGTACTGGAGACCGCCACTGACACTCTTCCTGCTGTTCTTTTAAGTCTTGTCACTGACAGCGTCTGCTCAGCCCTCCCTGCTCTGCTGCTCTGTTACTCATAGTGCCTGTTCAAGACAAAATGTGCACAAAGAGCAGAGCTGTCAGAAGGCACTGAGCTGACTTGCAGTAGTGCACACAGAAGAATGGCAGAGCAAAGGAAGCACGCTTGGTGAGGAAGGAAAAGAGATCACCAAGACTGGGGCTCTTCGCAGCAAGCAGTCTGCTTGACTAAAATGGAGGATGCCTGAAGAGTATAGACTGCTACTTATAATTTACAGTATTTGGAGGAGAAACAGTGGAAATATCTCTAAACGTATGCTAGAGACCACGCTCCACTAAATAAAATACGAGAACCTTTGGAAACACTTTCTTACCTCAGAGATCAATAAAACTTAGCTTCCAATTCATGTTTATCAATCTAATCCCTTTAATAATTCCTTCAATAATATGGTCAAAACTAAGTACTATAACATAATATTAGCCAACATATAAAAATTAATTTAGCTTATAATACCAGAAACATCAAACTGTTATTCTATTCTCTTGAAATAACTCTTAACCTCTAACGACAGTTTTATTTTCAAGTAATTAAAAACATTTAAATGTACCTTTAGATGCATGAAAATTGATTGGCTGTATTTCTTACATTATTTTAAAAACACACAAATATTTTTCTAAAGGTAAACAACCAATATAAAACATTAAAAAAGTATATGCATCACTATGTAAGTTTTTATGCATATGTACACATGTATTCCTGTGTATATGAGCAGGAGAACAAGTGCAGTTTGTTTGTGGGGCCCAAGGCAGGTGACCCCTCCCCAGCACAGTGCGGCTGATCTCTCACTCGCACCTACATATCTAGTCTACCCAGATGCTTGCTCCGGAGACACCCTCTCCTCCCACACTGAGATTACAGGTAGGGCATCGGCCTCCCAGAGTTAACAGTGGTGCTGGGTATCAAGGCCTCCTCCATATACACTTGCTTGAGCCATCCCCTCGGCTCCCAAAGCACTCTTTAACATACTTGAAAAACTGTTCAAGGCCACAAGTAAAAGTGATATTCAGCTTCTCAAGCAGCCTCCAATAAATTATATGGATAATAAAGAAGTAATTTCCAGAAAGGAGAGAACTTGCCCTAATCATGCTTTATTGGATTATCTCTGCCCTATTTACTCCCACATACTTGCACATGCTGGCACACCCACAGTACCAACGCTACAGAAAGAGGAGGGGACGGAACTCCCTGACATTTGAAAGGCTCACTATTTTGACTCTGTGTACCTTCATACCGGACCCACCAAGGAAAGTAAGGCTCACGCTCCACTTTCAGAGGTCTGTGGTGAATAGCTGCAGAAACTTAACATGAGGCCGAATGCAAGGGCAATCAGGTTAAGAAAACCTGAGTCCACAAATTACTTCTATTTTTCCAGGCTTAGTCTGTAGAAAGGATAGAGGGAGCCATCTGTCTTGACATTGATAAGATGCCAGGAGCATCACATACAGGATTAAATCACTTTCCATATACTTCTCAGATAAATATTGTCATTTTGATGAACATAGCATCCATCATTTTCTAAAACTAAAAAGCATTTAAAACTAGAACGCTTGTGAAAACTCCCAAAGCTGCATTTTTTTTTCAAAATGTATATATTAAGAAACTAAACTACTGATTTCTATTGCAAGTAAAGGGAAGCACACCATTCTCATTAAATAATCTTCAGTGAGGTACCTGAGTCTTAGAGTAAGAAAAAGAACAAAACCCAGGAGACCTGGATTCCAATCTAGCCTTCTACAAAAGCATCTTTCCACCAGAGGCCAAGTGGTAGTCTTCATATGTAAATGCTAATAATCTTCACTATCTTGAATTAGGATGGAAAAACATACATGATATAAAATACAGGCTTTGAGTCTAAGTATCAGTCATACTTAAACAATGATGATGGAATACTTTTTAAACCTATAAAAAGGACTCACGGTTACAAGGCAAGGTTAGAAAAGCATCTAAGGGCTGGAGCTGGAGCTCAGTGGTACAGGGTTTAGGACACATGCATGAGGCAGGTGCAATTCCCACTAAAGGAGGCAGGGAGGGAGGGACAGAGGGAGACACGTTTAAACTGCTGAGGAGAAAAACTGTCAATAAAGAATTCTGTACCTGCCAGACAGGGCAGACACATACTTGTTAACTTCAGTACCCAGGAGGCAGAAACAGGCAGACCTTTGTGTGTTTCAAACAAGTTCCCAGACGGCAAGAGCTACTAAGTTAGATCTGTCATTAAAACAAACAGCAACAAAACCCTGCACCTGACAAAACTGGCTGTCAACTATCCCACATAAACAAAACTAGTAGGACTGTACTATAAGAAACGCCAACAAGAGTCCTTCAAACTAAAGCTACGACAACGTAAACATTTCCAGTAAAGGCAAATATGAGCAAATACCATAAATTACATTACTATAATTTTGATTTGCAATTTCATTTTACACTTTCTGTGAGACTTAAATGATAAATGCAGGGGCAGGAGAGATGGCTCAGAGGTTAAGAGCAATTCCCAGCAACCACATGGTGGCTCACAAACATCTATAATGAGACCTGGTGCCCTCTTCTGCCCTGCAGATGTACATGAAGGCAGAACACTGTATACATAATAAATAAATAAAATGTTAACAAATGATAGGTGCATTAAAACTACATGTTAAGAAACACAATCCATAAAAATATAATCTGTAAAATCAATAAACTAAAAAGAACCAGGGTTTTTATATCTAACTAAAGTAGGTTATATATCAATTCCAATTAAGTTCAGATTGGGAGCTACGGCTGTAATTCAGTTGGCAGGCTTTGTGTAGCATGCAGAGAGCCCTGGGATTGGTCAACCCAGTACAGCACAAAACTGGACACCTTGGCACTCACACTTGTAATCCAGGACTCAGGCGGTAAAGACAGAAGTTCCAAGTTCAAGGTCAGCCTCAGGACAGCAAGTCTGAAGTCACACTGAGCTATGTGAGACCGTGTCTCAAAACAAGAGAGAGGCTGGGAATAGGGAGCTAAGTGGAGATGGTTGGTATGACCATGGATCATCAAGGACAGGGAGCCTGTCATCTTTGCTTGTGTTTCTTTATCACAACGTGGCGTCAACTATCCCAAGGAGCAGAA